TGGATGACATTAGCTATCATCAGAAGTCACCCATTCTAAGACAAATTTGTATTTGTAGAAGACAGGATACTCCCAAATTAAATGAGAAAAAAAAATACGGCATTTCTTAAGTTCAAATAAGGTCATTAAAGTATATCTTCATGACTAGAATGTCAATAAAGAAAGCTGCAGTTTCTAAGTGTTATTTTTGATAAAATGTCTCTGTGGCTGGAGAGATGGCCCAGCGATTAAGAGGCACTGGCTCTTCTTTCAGAGGACCTATGTTTGGTTCCTAGGACTCACATGGCAGCTAACAACCACCCATAACTCCATGGGCATTGCATGACATGGGTGTATTTACATACATGCAGGCAACACATTCATACACATAAAATTAAATTAAAAAAATTTTTTTTGGTCTTTTTGAGACAGGGTCTCCCTGTAGCCCCAGCTGCCCTGGAACTCACTATGTAGACCAGGCTGGTCTTGAACTCACAGAGATCTGCCTGCCTCTGCCTCCTGAGTGCTGGGATTAAAGGCGTGCATCACCACGCCCAGCTAAAATATCTCTAGAAGGATCCATAGGATGATGATAGTGAAGATTATCCTTGTGGAGAGACTCTGGCTGGCTGGGTGGTGGGATGATAGAGATTTTCACTGTAACTTCTGTTGTACTTTTGATGTTTGACATATGAATTAGTTACTTAGTAAATAAAAATATAGTTAAAAGACTGCATTTACAGAGGTATAACTGCCAACAGAGTTTTGAAAGGAAGCAAAATGCACATTTTGTCAGTCTATTTATCCACTCCATCTAAGGATAGAACCAGAATATTCAGTCCCCTGGAAAGTGAAACTGCCTGACAAGAATGATTCCAGGGGTTTTTGATGAAATCTCCCTTAAGAACATTTGCCTCCAACTTTTGAGCTCACCAAGCAACCTTGGCATAGGAAAGGAGTCTCCCTGAGAGATCTGGAGACTGAAAGATAGGGCCAGCATTGTAAAGTATCAGCTCAGTATTTTGGCCTCTCTGTGGGAGTCTGGTGAGTTTGTTAGATGAAACTCAGTCCTTACTCTCAAGTAACATCTCTTCCTCCTCCCCCTCCTCCTCCTCCTCTTCCTCCTCCTCCTCCTCCCCCTTCTTTGTTATTGTTTGGGGGTTTTTTGAGACAGGGTCTCACTATATAGCCCCAACCAACTTGGAACAAACTTATGTAGACCATCCCAGGCTGGCCTTGATCTCATAGCAATCCACCCACCTCTGCCTCTTAAAGAGTGCATACGTCAGTGGGATTTCAGTATATTCATAGAGTTGAGCATCTATCCCCCAAACTAATTTCAGAATATTTTCATCACTCCTCAGAGAAACCCAGCACTCTTTAGTGCTTCCCAGGCAAGTCTTTCCCACTTGCCTAGTCAATTTGGAGAAGTGATGAAATCCACTTCCTGGACCTAGAATGCTACAGAGCCAGACTGTTTCCACAAAACCTTGGGTTCTTCTGGCGCACAGCACCCAATGCTCCCCTGGAGTTGCCTGCTATTTCATTTGTCTACCTGGGCATAGGCTCCGTAAGGACAGAGAGCCTGTTTCATCTCCTGCTACTTCCCTGGTACCGTGCCTACCACACAGCACAGGCCTCAGTCAGTTGTTGTTCAATACTGAAAACCTCTCTGATAACCCACAGGCTTTGATTTCAAATGAGTGCAAGATCTTGTGCAGGCAGCCTCTGCACTGTGACCTTACAAATCCGTTCAGGATTGTTAGTAGCTATGAACAGCTGTGTTTTTACTGCAAGGAGAAGGTCTCTTTCATCAGAGGAAATGGCAAAATTTAGCTTCAGCAAAGTCAAACCACAGGTTTCTCTAAGTATTGAAAATAATCCAGCACTCAAGCTGGTCTGACTTTAAGCAAATAGGAAAAGCACTCAAGCCAGCACTCAAACTGGCCTGACTTTAAGCAAATAGGAAAAAACACTGGGAGCTTCTCCTAGGGGCTTTCTTCTTTCTTTCACACCAGTCTTCAGATACCCTTCGAGAATGCAAAAACGGTAAACACTTTAGTCCTCTTTTAGGTCCTGACCAAAAAAAGGCAAAGGTCAATCGATCTGAAT